TAATTTAGTCCTGGTGCAAATATGGGGTAAGTGTTTTTGGGGCATATATGGTAGCAAAATGGTTGAATCAATACTCCCACTGATACAGTTGGCAGAACTCGAAGGATTGCTGTCCTGTCAGACCTTTGGGCAACAATCGCAAACTACAGTGATAACCTCAGATAATAGCAGTGTGCTGCATGTGTGCTGTATATTGTCTAAAACAGACCCGGTCTAATTTTTTGAGGAAAAGATATTCAGCCAACTTATCTGCCAAAAATAAAGAGAAACATTAATCTTACAAAAAACATGTTTTTTCCAAATCATTTGACAAAGAGAAGCTTCTGTACCTGTAATCCCCTACACCTTTACTTCCCCTTATAGTGTGTCACAGGGCCCTGAAGCTAAACAGGTCCACCTGATGCTGTAGTGAGAGCTTGAGCTTCTAACATTGCTGTTTCATTGCAGCAGCGACGAGGACAACAAGCCTCTGCAGGGCAGCCAGACTTCCCTGGATGGCAACGTAAAGGAAAGCGACGACAGCCTGGTGGACTACGGCGAGGGAGGAGACGGGCAGTTCAACGAAGACGGCTCTTTCATCGGCCAATACACAGTGAAGAAGGACAAGGACGAGACGGAGGGCAACGAGAGCTCCGAGGCCACCTCGCCTGTGAATGCCATCTACTCGCTGGCATAGCGGCTCAACAGCGGCGAACTTGGACGCACCCTCTGATTTGTTATGATAGAACCACACACATGATTCTACGAGTATATGAAACACATTACACACAGTGAAAGCAGCAGTCTGGACACTGTCTAGGCTCTCCTCTGCAGGTGGAAAAAGATGCGACCACAAGCCTTTAATTTATTTTTCCAGTTCTAACAATACGGTCCATGGACACATCTGGAGGAAGTGGACAATGCTCGTTTCCTTTGCGCTCTGCCTGCCCTTTACCCACACAGACTTGGAGTGTGCCTTCGGGAGGCATCAAATGTTCTTTAGAGATTTTTTGGTTTGTGACTCAGCTCTGCTTCCCGATAACCTCCCCGTGCCCGGCATACCTCTGCGTAACCAAGTAAAGTAGTCACAGAGGTTAAGTATACATACACACTCTGGCCACATCCTGTAACATATCAGCTTCTAACCATAGGATGCCGGCAGATATGTTTATCATATTGATATTTAGGCAATGAAAGATTTTAGTTTTTCCACAGCTGATAGAGGAGTCCGTGAAACTTAACGAATGCTGTAAAAAGTCCTGGCACACATTTTAGTGCCCTGCAAATCTATGCACTATCACCTCCTTCACACCATTTTTGTTTCATCTGGTTAGTAAAAGTACACATTGTGGGCTTCTTTTAGCAGATTCAGTCCCAAGGTGGTTGGCCTTGAACTTCGTTGCAGGCATGCATCTGTTCCCTCTTATCCTGTGTTGCAGTTCAAAATGCTTTTCCTGGGAAAAGCTGTTTCATGCTTTGTGCTCAGTTACAGTATGAGGTTCATTAAACCCAACGTTGTTCTGAAGCATGGTGATAAACTTAGTGCGAGAGAGATGTGACAGGTTTGCTCGAGAGACACCAGCGCACTAAAAAACAGTGAACTCCCTAATTAGCATGTGGGCTTGTGCTACATTCATGTCTAGCTGACAGCGTTCGAGGGCAATGATTCCCACACTAATATGGGAACCATTGCCACCATGTTGCTGGAATGTGGGAAAAACTGTAAAAGGAAGAAGCTTGAATTCAGTGTCTCCTGCCGTAATCGTCCAGTCTGCTATCCAAAGACAGCTCAGTCTGTGAGCTCGAGGAGGATCAAACTGCCAACCTCGCAGTTATTGGATGACCTCATCAAAGCACAAGATGACTGGTCAGTCAGTCCTGGATCAATATTCTTCTAATATTGCAGGACAACAGACAAACCTTCTTTGCATCTGTGAGGCTCCTTAATTCTGCTGACTTTGTTAAAGAGTTACATCCAATCAGGTAAACTGGCAGTTTTGTGTTTTATAACCAGGCCAAATGTACGGTGGTCACACAGGGACATATTTCAACTTAAAGAAAATATTCTTCTGCCCCAACTGTCAGGTTAGCATCTTCGTTCTGTCTCCTGGGTCATGAATGTAGCACCAGAAGTCATGATCCATGAGCCGCGTCCACACTAAACTCTGTGCGTTCAGCTTCACTGCGGCTGTGCAGACATCAGCACCACACACTGTATACAACGACCTCCAGTACTCACTGTTATTGGAACAGCCACACGTGTTGATCTGAACGAGTCCACATAGATTCAATTATCTTACTTTATTGCCTTGAGGTGCTTTATATTGCAAGGTACAACATGGGCGAGCGAAGGCCAACAATCACATGATGTAGAGAAGGTGCATCCTAATCAGTGAGGTAAGTGCACTGCACTCTGTGTAGCCCGACCCCACCTGCACAGAGAGACCCCGGCCTCTTTGGTTCTTTGAATCTTTATGAACTTGATCCGTTTCTTATCGCTCCAAAAAGACATAATTACAAAACACTGTTACGTGATACGAATGATTTAAAGAATGAAAAGTACACTTCACAGCCACAAATGAAAGTTATCATTTGACATTTCTGAGGTTCACTCATGCTGAAGCTACTGAAGCTACTATTACCCCCTGAGTGCTACATCGAACAGGCTGACGTTTGGAATATTTATTTGGTATTTATTACATGATGTGGATAGCATTAATATATTAGTTCTTAATTTAATTCACTTCATTTTTATGTACAACTGAGCCAAACTACCGATGGCTACAGAATAAAATTATTGTTCCTCAACACACAACTGTATGTTCAACATGTTTTTCTGCTGTAGCCGACGTCTCATCCTTATACTCATGTTGTATTACTGTTACTCTGTGTTGTTGTTCAGACTTAAGTAGCATAACCTTTCCATCATTCTGAGAATGAATTGATGTGTACTCATTATTGCAGATTATTTGGTATTTATTTTGTACATCAGAGTCCTGAAAGAAAATCCTACCTGTGTAAATATTGAAGACTTGACCCCCACCCGCCCAATGAGTCACAAATCTGCATCCACCAAGCAGCTGTAGTGGTGCAGTCTGTCGTGCACCTTTGTTATGTAGCTTTGATTCATCTTTGCACTCTGAGGAAGAGTCATCCCTTTGCGTTGTCATATACGGACTGTGGCCTTGGTTTGTGTGTTGTGACAGAGAAATATGTTCGATTGTGTACGTGTAACAGCTGCTGCAGCGTACTACCTGAGTTACACAAACGACTACAAGACCTGAGAACAGGGATTTCCTGAGGTCCCCTCCTTGTCTCTGGATACACAGGCATGACATGTGTGTCATCACAGGGGTCAACAACTTTGACCCCTGTGATGTATTCCACTTTGTTGGTCTTTGTTCCCCATTACAGCTCTTCTCAGGTGCTCTTTGTCAACTTGTAAATCCACAAAAACCTTGGTAAGAAGTCTTAAACTCGGGAAAATCATTCATTTTCTGAACTTCCTCTTTCTTAATGTGTCCTAGTGTGAGACGGCCAATAAACTGTAGCCCCAAACCTGACATGTGTTTCAAACAATCCACAGCAACCAGGTGCAATGTGATATCAGACCTCATCATCCTCAGCTGACACACTGCAGAATGAAAAGGTTTTACTAGATTTGATCTCTGTAACAAAGACAGAGGGACATTTTCTATGATGATATATCATCAACACTAAGCATTCGCTAAAACTAACATTTAAATGGCGAGTTCTCTTCTGTCTAGAATTCGTTGACAGCTCTCTCTCGAGCACTGTACAGATGAACCTTGGCAGTGTTAATACAATGGCATTAGTAGCAGGTAAACACAGGTGAGCACAGGTGAGCTACTCTATAATCTTACCTTCAAAATGTTCTGGAGTCACTGCAGGACTTTAACCGTCCTGAAGTGAAAACATATGTTCCCTTCTGTTCAGAGTTGGACGAGCTGCCTTATTTCCTCGCCCACTTCACCTGCTAATGGTTGTTCTTGTATAAGAGGCAAGCCTTTGTAATTCAGTCAGTTTGATTTGTTAAAGCAAACTCAATACTTCATGTGCACACTACAGGACACGTGAAGGACACTACAGGAGTAAAACTCCTCAATCATTTCATGAAATGGGAAACCCTTTAATCTTCTTGTGAGATGTTTGCCTGCATACTGTCTGCAAAACACTGAATGAGACTAGACAACCACAAAGCGAGGCAGAGTTTAGCATCCACATCTATTGGAGATAAAGTATCTGAATTTGGGGAGCATGCCTCCAAACATGCTCCTCCTGGTTTCTACACATGACTCCCCCATTTCTATTAACTGTTCCCTGGTTTTCATGCCCCACCCTCACTCCTCTCTTCACTTCTTCACTTCTCGTCAGCACACAGGGATCTGCCATGGAAACAGGGAAACAGGGCATGCATTTTTGGACTTTGATGGGAATATTTTTATTCTTTTAATAATTTATCTTGAGTGTTTTTGCCAGGCTGTCTCTATCCCCATCTGTGCTACACCCAAGTGTTATAATGCTACAGTTATCCTTCTTGTGATGCAGCACAATGCCACTTGAAATTGATTGAAGGTACCTGCTTAACAGGGCGCCAGGTTAAAAACAATTGTAGAGGATTTTCATGAAACACATGCTTATTTGCTTCCTACAGTGGGTTTAGAAGTTGACCCAGACCACCTGCTAAAGTCTGCAGAGGAGAAGGCCACTTTATTTATGATACCTTGTGACTGCAAAGTGAAATCTGAGTTTGAGCATCTCTAAAACGGAGCCCAGTAGTTTCCTTGTCATTGATGATCTCATATTTCTCCTTTCAAGACAAACCTCTTGCTTGACAGTACGTCCCAGTCCTCTCTCCTGAATGTTAAAGCAGTGTCCTCTGAGTTCATCAGCAGGATGATTCATCCCATGCTGTGTTGACTAGCAGGACGCTGCTTGTGAAACTGACACAGACAGTGAGACAGAGCACTGCAAGAGCAATATTTGATTGAAGAACAGGTCTGAATTTTAAACTGGAACTGGAAATCTTTGCTAAAAATCATCACACACACCACTCCTTACTCGCTCTGCTGCTGCCCATCCACCAAGCTCCACTGGTGGAGCACAGCAGGGATGCTGGCAACATAAAGAAACAAAGGTATACAAAGCTTCGTGTGTGTCTACACAGTTTATGGTGCACAAAGACCAAGCTTCTTTTTCTTCACGTTATCTTAGCTCACCTTTAATTGGGGATGAAAATAGTCAATGTGTATTTTTACAGCCTTTGCTTTTCCTTCAGTTTAAAATGCTGCAAAGTGTCAGAACTTACTGGTGCACATTTCCAGCTGGATTTTTCACTGCGTCATATTGGCATCTTCTTGTTTTTGTGTATCAGAGCAGCGTGCTAACACCTTGCTTCTACATGCAGCATAACAGCTTTTGTAAGGTACATCTACTCTACAGGAAATGGCTTAAATATATTCACCATGTATGCGTGTATGATGACATGTTGCAACTTCTGCTAGTGCGCCTTCTTTATAGTAAAGCTATCTCCTTTTCTCTACCTCCTGACTTGGTTGTCATCCTTGTTTCTGTACTTATGTGCAGCATAGATTTAAAGCAGTAGACTTTCCTATGGAAGAATTGATTATTTCATCCTAATTCATTATATTAATAGTAGAAAACACCACATGTTTCTACTGATAACCCAAAATCTTTGTCTTCATTCACAGGCTCCCTCTAGGAGAGCTGGTGATGACCAAGCTGCTCTAGTGGCCTCTTAAGGCTGGCTCTAAAACAAAGTCTCAAGTTAAACTGACCAATAAAAGTGCATCCTTACAAACTGTTACAAAACCAAAACTTTTTTTTACAGCTTTTATGTTTAGTTCTCCCTTTAAAAAAGCTGAAAAAGGCTTAAAGTTGGGAACATTTTGACGTGTGCAGTAACAGCCCTGTTCCACTAGTACCGACTCAGTTTCCATCAGGTGGTCATAACTTTTCTAGGATCTACCCGGCCGGGCTCCGAGTCACTGACAATGTGACATCAGCAGACTGCATGCTATCGAATGGGTGGTCAGTGGCGTCACTCAATGAGTCATGAGAGCACCTCCTTCACCAAAATCAAAATCTTCAAAAAAAATAAAACAGTTTTGAAAGCAGACGATGACAAAAATAAAAACCCTAAAACACACTGTCACAAAGACATTCACCATACAGCAGGTATACCATTGCGTTGACGTCCTCCATTGTTGTGGTGTTGCTGTCACATGACTTTCAGCTGTGGTCGCCACAATGACCCCACACACGTCAGTTGTTGCTAGATTTTAATGGAAAATGTCTGAAACAGAACTCGAGCAGCGTGTTGGTGGGTACCAGTGGAAAAGGGCTGTAAGTGACTGTGGTCTTTTAGGCCTGACGTCTACCAAATGTTTACTTTCTGAACCAGGCCTCTCTTTGGCTTTAATAGTATCATTTAGAGTAAAGACCATTTTAGATTTTTGTGCTTCAGTTTTCACGAGTGATTTTTTATTATTAGTCTGTTAGGTGATGCATACAGTAGATGGAAGGAACTGGTTTTCTACCGTGACCTCATTTCTTAACACTGCACCATCTCACCAGTTATGGTCATTGTAGGGTCTAAAAGAGAGGATACTGGACACAATTTCAAAGATGAAACTTGCTGAAACCAGGTGACATCATGGTGACATCCATATATTCCACTAATTTACAACAGTCATCTCAAGATGCTTTATGCTGTAAGGTTGAAACCCTGCAACATTAGTAAGAAACTCGAGCAATCACACGGCACTT